TTACTTCTTTAAATATGGAAACTAGTAGGTCGGAAAAGGGGACTCTTCCCCAATATTTAAATTTTAGAATTTCAAGTTAAAATTGGTGCCAATCGTTTTTGGTCATTACATACTATTCCCCATTTTAATATGTACGTGTATTTCAATAACACCCTGTATTTGAAACAAAAATATAGGTACACTAAGGTATTGCAAGTTCGATCTATAGGATATCATATCAACTTCGTAAGGTTTGCATTATAGTACCAAAGGAGAATTGTAAATAGCACACAGAAAAAAATTATAAAAGTAGTAACATTTTTTGTACATACCTTTTGAATAACCCTGTATTGGAAGTAGAATATACTTTTTTTTATTTGTAATACTTAAGATCCAATTGCAATACTTAATAGTTATTTATGTATCAAGGGCGTAAAACAGCCGTTTATGGACCGCAACGTGTAAGTAACATGAAATACATACAAAATTTTATGCACGACTCTTTTAATGGCGGGCGGGCGATAAAGGGGCACTTTACGCCCGCCAAACTTATTTATAATCTGTACTTTATCGCCCGGTCGTGCATAAAAAATATTAGAGAGATTTACTTATATTCCTGTGATTTGTATACAGGGTGTCCCATTAGTGCGTAATTGTTCAATATTTCAATTTGTGTTATAAACACGCAAACAAGTTTTAAATAAAAGTTACATGGATTTGAAAAATATATATATTTCAATTTACTGAATTTTTTTTTAAATACAACACCCTGTATATTATTTTAGAATAAAATTCATTATAAATTTGCGATATTTTTTAGACATTAATGTAATGTCTTATCTTGGTAATATTTCACTATACTATAGATCTTTAATGACTGTTGTCAATTATTAGGCACCATAGCCACATATCAAACTAAAAAAAGTAAAGTTTTAAAACCACGATTAAAATTATTATTTTTTCTCGAAATAGGGAACAAATTAAAAAATATATAAATGATATACCTAATTTATATACGGGATGGGCTACGGTTTATAAAGCCAAAATTATTATTTTTTTATAATCTGTATTCACAGCAAGATATATAACAAAAAAGACAACAATCTAAAAATAATTTCAATTATACAGGGTTATCCAAGAAAGTGATACAAGGTCAACTCGGGGAAGTGCATTTTTCCTGCTCTGATAATAATAACGGTTCATTTTATGCAGCAGTGGGTATTTTCGTGTGATAATTAGTTTAGCTACACTGCGTCTCACGTGACCAAGCTTTGTGCATCTGTGAAAACAGTCTCAATTTAGATCTCATTCTACCACATGTGGTGCTCCATTTATTGTACTTTTTTTCCATTCTAAAGTGAATTTTTGTTTTTCAAAATATGGTAAGCAGTTTAATTTTAAAACGTGTTTTTAATTTTTCATATTGTTTTCACAATGTTTAATCATATTAGGCATAAAATTAGCAAATATGCTCTTTCCCCTCCAAAATAGGTTAAGAGGCAAGTGCGTTTTTACACCATGGGGAAAGTGCAGACGCGTATTCACTTGTCCCCATTGTAGGAGATTCCCAGTAACAGCTCCAGCTCATGATCTTCAAAGTCCAATTTAAAAGACTTTATTTTGTATTTTGAATAATTGCATTTTTCAATAGTTAGCTAAGGGTTGTGACATGTGCCCAAATATTAGTAGAGTTGGTAAGTTTACGTTTTGTGTACTTATTATTATAATAAGCCTGTATTTGTGTATGTCGAAGACATTTTATATAATCGTTGTAGTTACATTATACTTGTTTTGAGAACACTGTTTTCTTCAGCCCTTGTTTAAAGACGTGTTAGGTTCTTACAGCAGGAGCAGAACCATACAGTTAAGGACTACGAAGCCAAGTTTAAGGCTAAATAGTGTTTATGTGATTGAGGCCCAAATTCATATATTTTGTTATTCAACCCCCGGGACATAGATATTCCCATAATTATTTAAGAACACATTCATTGTGACACATTTCTTTATAAAAAACACGCATATCGTGACAATATTCTATTCCAAAAGGTACCATAACTGACCATGTTAAAAACAGAAGGGGGTGTGAAGTCAAAAACATTTGAAAGACCGACAGCTTTATCTTCAGAAACTGAAGATCAATTGGGTAGACTCAATAAATTAATGGAAAAATACGGCTACGGCTTGTCAAAGAAAAACGTTTTACAACTGGTGAGCGATTCCATAATTAAAGAAAAGATCCTAAACCCGTTCAAGAATAACTTTCCTGAAAAAGAGTGGTCAGGTTTAAAAAAAAAAAAGACAACGCTTAAGCATTAAAAAACCGCAAAATGTGGAAGTTGCCCGAAAAAAAGCTCAAGATCCTTTTGTCAAATTCAATTATTTTGACCAACTAAAACTATGGAAGAACTCAATATTGAAACAAAAAATGTTTGGAACCTTGATGAATCGGCATTTAGTCACGATCCGTCTAAAACTAAAATAGTAGGAGGAAAAGGGCTGCCTGCTACAAGAACTGTTAGTGGCCCTGGCAGAGAAAACACCACTGTCCTACTGGCTTGTAGTGCAACTGGAGACAAGTGTCCTCCATTGTTTATTTTCAAAGAAAAAAAAAACGTTTGGAACCAATGGGTTCCTAACGAAGATGAAAGATTTCCCGATTCAACATTTGCCGCTACTCAAAATGGCTGGATGGAGTCTTCTGTATTCCTGAATTATTTTGAACATTCCTTCGTAAAAGCAGCAAAGCCGTCCCCTAGTAATACCGTTTTTCTCATCTACGACGGTCATTGGTTTAAAATTAGTGGAATTGGCTGTGAAAAACCACGTGACAATTATTTTACTGCCTCCTCATTCAAGCCATCTACATCAGCCCCTCGATCTGGCAGTTTTTAAGTCCATTAAATCATCGTGGGATGAGAATCTCTGCAAAAGGTTGAGACAACAAGAAGGCTGTCAGAAAATTTCTAAACGATCAATGACGATAAAAATAGGACAACTATGGAATAACTTTGATACGGACATTATTAAAAATGGATTCAGGAAAGCTGGCATCTTTCCGTTTAATAAATATATCATTCCTGAAGAAAATTTTGACTAACTATCTTTGGAACGATGGACATCATTGCAGCTCGAAACTGATCAAATGGCAGCACCCGAACTGGACCAAGTTGCAGCACCCGAAAAGGACAAAGTTGAAGCATCCGAAATTGATCATCTCTCACCACCTAAAACTAATATGGTTGCAGGTTTTAAAAAAGACAAAAATGACCAGATTAATTCATGACGCTACCTCATCGGGAAACAACCTAGAGCAGGTGCAGAACTCTCTCGATACTTTCAAAAAATTGCTAAACTATTTCGTCCCATAATCAGAGAGGTCCGCCAGCTAAGAAAACCAAAGTTTGTTTAGGGTCAAATGTCATCACATCTCAGGAGTGTATGAAAATTTTGAAAGACAAGGAGGACGCCGAAAAGCAAAAGAAAGCTATGAAAGAAAACCAACAAAAAACAAAAAAGGAACAGAAAGCCAAGAATAAAAAACCAAAGAAGATAAAAGAGAATCAAAAGAAAAAATCGAAGTTTGAATTGTCATTGTTAGCTCTTAATTTATATTTTTAAATTTGCGCGCCGCGCCACTGACCAACGAACGCTGTGAATGTTTTGGTCCAGACATGCCGAGTCAGGAGTAGTATGAGTTGGCCATAAGCGGCAATCGCCGGTTGTATTCCGACAATAAAATAAGTTTAATTGAATTTTCGTGTTTAAATATGATTGAAAATGAGTCTGAGTGATCTAGTTTCGATAAACATATACATAAACTTAACATCATCATCCTCTGATAAGGAAGAACTGCCATTTAATACGTGCATTGATGAATCTGATGAAGATTTTGAAGAAGAAATACCTACTTAAACCCTAGTTTGAAATAGACGACCTACCAATCCATCTCAAGACAGAATTGGAAATTAGTGATCCCGAAAACAATCCGGTTCCATTCTTAAAACCAAACGAATCAATAACTTTGGAAGTTGCAGAAACTGGTATTTGTTCGTTTGAAACAGTGGATCAAGTTCCTAACTCCAATAATAAAGAAGAACCTTCTGAAGCTTCGGTTGTGCCAAGAAAACCAGGGGATTACGTTCTAGTCAAGTATGAATATACCAAAAAAACTGTGAAAATTTACCTAGGAGCAATCAAAGCAATATATGATTCAGAAGAGTGTTTTGTTAAATATTTACGCTCTGTAGATAAAGAGAAGAAGACTTTCAAGTTCCATAAGACTGATCAAGACACCGTCCCAATGCATGAGATTATGAATACAGATGTTCCGGACTTGATGGATTCTAAAGGCCGCTATGTATTTAAGGACCCTGTGCGAGTCGTAGAATAAATATTTGTTATGTTAAAAATATCTACCAAAGTTTGTATAACAGTTATTTTGTATTCTAATGTTTTCTATAAGTTTTATGTTTAATAATTTTTCTAATAAAATCTTAAGATTTAAAACCAAAATATTAATTTGACTAAGTATATCTTTCTTAATATTACAGATAATTAAGTTCTGCAAAAACTGACCGATTCAAAATTTTACATATTTTATGCTCTTGCATCGGATAATCATCATAAGCATCTAAATAGAAAGAGGTCTGAAATGCACTTGCCCCATAAACTGGAGTAAGTGTATTTCTGTGAGATTGCGACCAATTTTTTTTTCTTTTTGTAATAAATCCAAATTTTCAGGTAAAAATACTTTCGGATTATCATTACTTAAGATTGTAAAAATATTAGTATGCTTAAAAAATTATATAGTATGATGATCTGTAGTTTTTATCTTGATTTTAAAGTCGAATTTTGAAATTGAAGGTATAGACTTCCCCGAGTTGACCTTATATTAATTTTTTTAAACTGTAATTCCTATAAAAATGTCGTTCCAACCAAGTATTAACGTGCAAACCTTAACGAGTCACGAAGTAAAATATATACAAAAAAAAATTATATATAACTATGCAAAAGTTTTACTTTCATGATTCTTCGACGGAAATGGACATCAGATGCGTCAACGCGTGCTTAACAATAATTTGATTATCTTCGACTAAAATTACGTGCGTTCCGCACGGTATTATATCGTTCTCTAAGTTGATTTCCTCTAAGTTCTCACCGGTTTCGGTATTCCAACAGAGAATTCCTTGATCGTAAAACGCAATGAGTAAACCGTTTTCGATACACACTCCCTTTAATCTTAAAAAAAAAATATGTAGAAAATATTTTATATAACATCGGCAAAGCGAAAACAAACCAAAGAAAAATTGAAAAAGCTGAGATGAAAAAAGTTGAGAAAGAAATTCAAAACCTTTCCCCATTTTTAGATATATTAAATAACTATTTTTTTTCGAATTTTTGGTACTTATAATTTAATTTTGTAAAAAAATATAATTCTTTATAAAAAAAGGTAATTAATATATCTAAAAATAGAAAATGCTTTCGAATATTTTCCTCGACTTTTGGGCGCCACATCTCAGCTAATAATAATTATTTTGTTTTTGATAAATTTATGTTAGTTAATCTATCAAATTTCTCTTACCTATCGAATCCCTCTGGTGGAAAATAACTCGCCAATTTTTTCCAAGATTGCTTCATTCCATTGATAGCTATTAACCTCAATTCTCGATCTACACATTGTTGGAGAGCAAATAAGAAACCCTGAAAAACGCAAACATCCAATTATTAGAAAGATTTTTTTACGGAGCATTAGAGGGCTTACAAAATATATTTTTTATTTTACTATCGATTTTTGACTTGTAAACTATGTAGAAAATTTTATAAAATGTCTTTCAAATACCATAACATTTTAATAGATATAAGAATCCTTTATTTAGTCCCTTTGATCCAAAAATGAAGTAAAAATCGAGGTTACTCATAAAAAAATAACTTGACTCATTGTGATATAAACACAACTGTAATTTTCAGTACAAACATTCGATCTGTGATATTTAAAGATTAACTTCTAATATCCAACCGTATGATTTCTGCACTCATGTTTTTTTTAAACAAATTAACAAATGTCTTATTACTATTAGAAGCTAAGCACACAAATAGTAGAATCATTATATGTGGGGATTTTAATGTAAAATTTTTAGAATCTGCTAGCAGATCAAGATAACTCACAGACTTGTTACTTCAGTTTAATTTTGAACAAACAATATTTACATACAGGGTGAGGACTTTAACTGGCGCAAATTCGCTACAGCTTTAGGTTGAAAAATGCGGATAAAACGCAAAAACACGTCGATTGAGTTTTTTTCCGGTCATACCAAAAAACAATTTTTTTCACCCCCTTTACAGGGTAAAACTCACCCCGACTTGTGAAAATAAGTGAAAAAAATTCTTTTTCACTTATTTTTATATAAAATTAAATTATTCTCAACAAAAAAGGTCTGATTGAAAATTTTCGTCAGACGAGCCGTTTCCGAATAATTGAGCTTAATAGATCGATGTGTTTTTTCGATTTGTCCTTTTTACTTTGAAATTTTGTAACTAATGAATCAATGAATATTTAAAAAAGCTCACGTCGGATTCTTAAAGGAAATTTAATGTTCTACAAAAAAGGTCTCTTAAAATTTTTGCCTAAATTTAATTCTTCAAAAGTTATTCACTATTGAAATCGAAGAAAAAATTGACATTTTCTGTAGAGAATTTAATTTTATATAAAAATAAGTGAAAAGGAATTTTTTTCACTTTAATGTTTTGACAGTTCTAACGTAAAACATCAAATTATGACTAAAAATCAAAAATAGCGATGATAGACCTCTTAAAATTAATATTAAGGGCTCAAATTTTCACGAAAAAATTTTTTCAAAAAAAAAAAGTTAATTTTTTTGGTCCAGTCTACTCAAGATATATATGAAATTAAAAAACTGCGCCCAAAATATTGTTGTTCCTATTACTAAATTGATAAACTGTTGTTTAGCTGAAGGTACCTTTCCAGATATTTTTAAAACGTACAAAGTTCTACCATGCCACAAAAAAGAAGATGACTGAGTACTTGAAAATGTTTTTCTAAAATACTTGAAAGTGTTATAGTAAAACAAATTTCATTTCTTTCTGCGGAACAATATGGTTTTAAACATGGGAGAACAACTACAAATGCCATGCTGGCTTTAATGAATAACATTCAGGAGTATTTAAAAAACAAATCACAATGCGTAGCTATATTGACTGATCTGTCTAAAGCATTTGACTGTGTAAGTCACACATTGTTAATTAACAGAATAGATAAATATGGCCTTAGAGGCATAGCAAACAAGATGATTGCTTCTTATTTGCAAAACAGGCAACAAAGAGTATATTACAGAAATAAACTTAGTAAAAAACCTTTATTAATGAAAAGAGGTGTTCCACAAGGATCCGTACTAGGCCCTCTATTATTTTTAATATATACCAATGATCTTCCATCATATATGAATTCAAATAATGCCGAATTACTAACTACCATGTATGCAGATGATACCAATTTCTCATATCACTGCAATAACACATTGACATACTTATCAAAAACTCTAAGATTATGACTGAAGCTAAACAATGGTTTGATAAGAATAAATTATTTTTAAATCACAATAAAACTGAAACATGTGTCTTCAGGTTGAATCAAACTACTAGTGAAACAATGAACACTAAATTTCTATATATTTTGACACACAACTTACATGGATTTTTACGAGTTCTACATCCAAAAAAAGTACCAAAAATATTTCGTGGCCCGTAGAATTTTATTCCAAATTTTAAATTTCTTTACTTACCCTATCGCAATTCACCCATAACGTCGATAGCGGCGTCTTGATATCATTCAATTCAACGGTGGCAATTATATGGCCGAATTCGATATTCCATAACGTTATTTTGTTCTCACCGCAACCCATTAAGAGATCGTCATAATCTGAAATAATAATGAATTTATTAAGTCAAAATTTCTTTATTAGTGAAGAATTAATTAGATTGTTAAGTTTTCGCTTATTTAGTATATGTAAGTTTAAATTGAATATTATCATCCAGTATGAAATCCATAGGTCGCTGGTTCAATCCGGCTCGAAGGACCATGATTAGATTTTAAAGATAATTGTTGTAAATAATACCACAAGATGGTTTTCATGAATCCCATTTCAGAGATAATTTTGTAAAGTATACTACCACATGTTGTTAGTCAATCTCTTTATTTTTCGTTTTGCATTTACATTTATATTATCACAGAATAAACAATATCAATTAATATTATTTAATTATTTAAATGTACATTAGAAAAATATTTTTATTCCAATTTCAGTCTCTCTAGTTCAATGTTTTGAAAATAATTTTGAAATAAGTCAGCATTTTTATTATTATAATTTACACAGCGACCTAGACACGAAATTGGAACGCTGTTTATTATTAATTGCATATGAAATTAAACATTTTAATTCAATAAATAATTAATTTCATATACAGGATGTTAATTTAATTGGTGAATATAAAGAAAAATGTTCAAATCTGAACAGTAATATTTCACTTATATATTATTCTCATTACTAGAGAGCGGAATATATGTAAAATGCATATATATATATATGCATTTTTTGCATATTTTACCAAAGTTCAGAAAATATTGCATATTTTTCCAAAATTCAGAAAATATTGCATATTTTACCAAAGTTCAGAAAATTTAAGAATATATTGCATATTTTCGAAAAAAAAAAATGTATTACTATACTGTGCAAATCAAAAACTGTTTTAACAGATTATACAGATATATTTGAAATAAAGACCTTTTAAATTTTTGTATTTGTTTTTAAGTATCACTTCTTGTAAATTCTTGTTAATTAGTTCTTGGAGGGTGGCATGCACTGGGTTTTTACCTTCTTAAGAGATTAAGCCCATTAAGGTAATTGTTAATAGATGGTATTTACACAGATAAAGTATTACCTACAATGCAATAAAACGGTTTATATAAAATTCTCAGTAATTTCTTGTAACCAGTCTACCCTAACATCGGAATATTTTGAATGTTTTTCATTCTGTTTAATGAGATAGTATCCTCGTTATTTGCCTAGTGAAAAGTCTTGTAATAATTTGTTGTTTTAAAAGTGTCCTAAAATGTTGAGAATTTATTCGTGGATTATTAACTTTCCAGAGTTGGAAATCAATGGGGATAAAGTTTTTTGTAAAGCTTGTGCCAAAATAGTGGTTTGCGAAAAAAAGTTCAAAGTGGTTCAACACGTGAAAACATCATTGCATAAAGCCAAATTGCAAAAAATGAAATCACAACCGGTTCAACAATGCGTTGTGAGGTCATTTCAAAACGCCGACAAAACAAAAAGTGACAAGGAGGTATTTAATCAGGACTTGTGCAAAGCTCTTGTTGCGGCAAATATTCCATTAAAGAAGTTACAAAACCTACATCTAAGAGAATTTTTACAAAAATATTGCAATCAAACCATTCCTGACGAATCTACACTCAGAAAAAAAATGTACATGCTATATATATATAAATGTAATAGAAGAAATTAAAGTTTAACTGGATGATAGCAATTTTTACATCATTGTTGATGAAAGCACAGATGCTTGTGGAAGATATATGGTACATCTTATGATTGGAGCCTTAAAAGAAAATGAACCAGGTACATCATATTTAATTGTATCAAAACAGTTAGAAAAAACTAACAATACAACTGTTACCCGATTTATTCAACAATCTCTAGCAGAATTTTTTTTACCAAATCAAATTCCCTCAGAGAAGTTCTTAGTGTTTTTGTCTGACGCAGCACCATATATGATAAAAGTAGGGCAAAACTTAAAAATATTTTATCCAAATATGGTCCACGTTACTTGTCTTCTGCATGGAATAAACTTAGTTGCAGAAACTGTGAGAACAGAATATCCCTTGGTTAACAAGCTAATTTCGAATGTGAAAAAAATATTTTTAAAGGCCCCTTTAAGAGTGCAGTTGTATAAAGAGAGAATGGTAGGGGTGTGTTTGACCCCGGAACCCGTAATTACGCGATGGGGGACATAAATTAAAGCAGCTATATTCTATGCAGAAAATTTTGAAGCAATTAAGGATTTAATTTTGGATATAGAAGACAATTCACAATGTGTAGTGCAAAGTAAAGAATTGTTAAAAAATCCCCTTGTGCCTAAGCAACTTGTGTTTATAAAGGTTAATTTTAGTTTTTTACCTGATGTAATAACTTCATTGGAAAAGAAAAATTTAAGTTTAATCGAAACAACAAATTTTATTGCAACAGTTTCCAATAAATGTAACAATGTTCCTGGTGACATAGGCCTTAAGATTAGAAAAAAATTAAATACAACTTTATTAAAGAATGAAGGGTTCAATGAAATAAGGGAAGTGAAAAACATTTTTGAGGGAAAATTTTCCAAAGAAGTTTTACGTTGGCCCTGTACATTACTTCCAAAATTACGGTATTGTCCTATTACTTCGGTAGATGTTGAAAGGACCTTTTCTATATCAAAACATATTTTTACAGACAGAAGACAAAAATTTTTAATAGAAAATTTCGAAAAATATTTAATTATAAATTCCTATTATAATATTACTATTTAATATTTTTATACTATTCTATACTTAACTTCTACTAGTTTTTGTGTTTAGTTTGTTTTAAATAAATTTTTATATTACATATTTTCTTTTGTTTTTTTTTTTCGTGTAATGGCTTTGATAGCGTACCAAATTAGGAACAGCAATGTTAATTAGAACCCAACAGTGAATGGTCAAGTGGAAATATTCGCTAGGCATCAGAATTAATTTTTAAATAAATAAATTAATTTAAAAAATCGCGTCCCGGCTGGAATTTGAACCCGGGACCTCTAAGTCCACAGGCCAACGCACTAACCACTGAGCTACCCACCCCCTACTTTTTTTTAAGTATTTTTAACAAATATGCATTTGCATATTTAGGCATAATTGGACAAAATAACTGCATATTTTTGGTAAAAACGATGCATATATATGCACATATTTTGTTATATTTTGATGCATATATTCCGCCCTCTACTCATTACTTATACTTCGCCAAGACGGTATTGCCCTAATTGGTAAAACACCACATCTGCGTGGCGAAGAACGATTCTTAAATTCAAACGGGCGAACATCAGTATCGCCGCAAATCACGTAGAATACATTCGAGTATTTGAGCATTGTGATAATTTGGTACAAACCAGAAAATTACATTTCCGAATTTTCAAATACCAACCCTCCTGATACAGTCCACGACCCCTGCATAGGACGCACATAGGAAGAGAAGTCTGCGTCAGGAAGACAAGGAAATTAAAGGTAGGACTTGATTGGCGAAGCTTTAAATTTTCTTACGCGCGTGACATACCGTTAGCTTAACCATAACCTATTCATAGATTCTTATTAATAAACGTAGATAACATAATAATATAAGAAAGTGTAAAACAAAAATTAAAATTCAAATAAAAAGAAAATCCTAATATCGAGATATAAAATATAAAGAACCAAAATGCGTTATTCAACAAACAGTAATAATGGCCATAAAGCACAACATGATTAAAAAAAAAAAATGAAAAAATTGTGAACAATGTAAATACCTTCGATATTATGTAGAGAAGACACATAGTGATCGACAGGTTCTATGTCATAAATATTAGACACAGTCTGGTAATCGGATGCCAGCTGATAGGCGTGAATAAACGTCCTTTTCGGCTGAGTTGTTTCCTCGTTGGCCGAATGCCAGCTGACGATGATTTTTGGAAAATTCTTCATTACACAATATTGAACATCATCGGCAAATCTGAAACATTTTTCTTAATAATAAAGGGCGAGGGATCTCTTTACCTGTGAAAAGAGCAGAAGACATTTTACCTCTCTATTCTTAGAACAAACACTATGATGAACTCTCCCTTGCATAGAATGTGCATAGATTTTAATGAAAATACATAGGGATTGAGCCATTCTTATGTTTATTAAATTATTTTAAGCTTCCCATATTTCTTAATGCAAGTGCCCCATATTAAACTAATCCATTACTAGTTTGATTAATAATTCTCAACTTATTTCGTATGCATATTATTATAATACCTGTGTATATAAGAGATTACATAAACATTCAACCGATTTCGTTTTCTCACTCCAGAGAACAAGCTTTCGAAGTATGTCTGTCAAAACTAAAAGATCCAGTGTCAAAATACTTTACTTACATTATATGTGTATATAGGACAGGTAGCGATTGTGATACTTTCATGTGTAGTTTATATAAATTTTTGCATAACTATACAATGAAGGTATCATAATAAGTGTTTACTATTTTTTAAGATAATTGTTTTTAAAAATTTTAACATTGTTTGAACTTGACTAGCCTGATAAGTGGCGTTCAGTATGTGAATGTCTATTTATGGTGAATAAACTGATTTGATTTGTATGTATGTTACGGTCAGAGTCGTGAATCCAAGAAATGACGTCAATGACCGGCCAAAAACGTCACAGCCTATGCTAGTTGTTCATTCACATCATTGGCCCGGCTTTCACGTCAATAATCATTTAATTTGGCCATTCATGATAATGCCGTCTTTGTCCGGCCATTGTCGTCAATGTATACAAACAATCGGTCAATGCTGAAAACTTAGGTTAGAATTTAGTTTACTTTAGTTTGAGAGCAGGTGCAGTAAACAAAGTTCGCGCCAGTTCGTGTTTTAAGTGCTTTTTTTATTTGTGCTATTTATCAACAATGGAACTAACGAGGGATCGATTTGAGCAGGCATTAACTCTATTACTTAATAGTAAAAGGGATGACAATACATTTTTCTAAGTCAAAATGAATATGAATCCAAAATTCAAGAAGTAAAGGCGGCCAAACTATTAATCCAAACGCCTTTATCAAAAAAAAAACTCAAACTCATTATAGACTAGTAAATAGATACAACATTTTAACATTAAATGGCAAAGATCATTTGATACGGGCGGTAGAGGAAAACACTAATAAAATATTATATTACGTGACAAATGAGGAGCTATAGGATATTTTACAATCGACTTATGCTGAAATAGGCCATGGAGGGCGAAACAGGATGGTTGCCGAGTTGAAAAACAAATACTGTAATGTGACAAAAGAAATTATAATGGTATTTTTAAAACTTTGCATTCAGTGTCAAAAAAAATCGGCTACTCCAAAGAAAGGATTAGTTTCTAAACCCATTTTGCATTCTAATTTTAATTCTAGAGCTCAACTGGATTTAATTGACATGCAGACACAAGCATATAATGACTACCGATTCATTTTCGTTTATCAAGATCACCTTACAAAGTTCACATTACTTAAAGCACTGAAATCCAAAAGGGCCATTGAAGTTGCAAGTCACTTGTTGGAAATTTATACCACATTTGGGGCTCCTGTAATACTCCACTCAGACAACGGACGCGAATTTGTGATTTCAGTAATAATTGAATTACATAAAGAGTGGAAAGATGTAAAAATCGTTCATGGCAAACCTCGTTATAGCTAGAGTTCTGTAGAAAGAGCAAACAGAGATGTAGAAGAAATGCTTGCCGCTTGGATGGCCGACAATCAATCTTTAGATTGGCCCAAAGCTTTTAAATATATTCAATTCCAGAAGAACCGCGCTTTTCATAGTGGTAAGTAAAAATAAAAATATTTATTTTAAAATAAAAAAATTGACTTGTTGGTAGGAATTGGTAGATCGCCCTATTAGGCCATGTTCGGATGTCCCGCTAGAGTTGGATTGGCATCAACAAGTTTACCACAAAATGAGACAGCCAATTTAACTTCAGAAGAAGACATTGAGGAATTACTAAATGAACAAAATTAATTTTGTCGAACAGAAGAACAAAATACTTCGGCAATACTTAATGTTGAATTCGAAAATCAACCTAATCTACAATCCGCCATAACTGATAATAATACAGAATTCGAAAATCGATTCAATCTAAGTCAATCCGCTATAATTGATAATAATATAGAATTCGACAATCAACCCAATCTAAGTCAATCCGCTGTAACTGATAATAATACAGAATTCGAAAATCAACCTAATCTAAGTCAATCCGCCATAACTGATGTTAATACAGGTAAAAGAATTTATTAACAAAGTAATTAACTAACCCTCAGAATGTTTATTATCGATTATTTTAAGAAGCTATATCAATCTATAATGTATGTTCAGAGTGCTCTACGTTATTTCCTTCTGAGCAAGGTTGTAATTCCAATGAAGCATGCGTTAATTGCACCATGAAGTCGAAAATTTTCCTTGAACGGAAGAGATCAAAAGAATGTTTAAAAAAACAAGCAAAGAAAATGATGAATCTATCAAACAAGAAGTTTTCTGAAGTGGACGTAGGTAGAACTGTACGCGTTCCTATACCTGATGCTGACAGGGCAAGGTGTGCTCCTCGCAATGTGTTAGCTGTGGTGACAAATAAGAATGAAGGATTTTACACGCTTGGTAAGAAAATAATACAATTTTTTTTGCAATAAAATGGACAAAAGGGATAAGTACGAAATATGACAGTTATACGTAGGTAATACCTATTATATTTTATAATAATAAACGTTTTTTTCAAAATAGTGTTTTTTGTGTCTCCAGTATAATTAACTAACTATTTTTATCTTAAACCACATTTTCGAAGAAGCTTAATTAAACCTAGTGATCATTAACAACAATGTCCAAATAAAACTGATCATTCACGACAATGGCCAGTCAAAGATGTAATTATTCATATTAAAAATGATACACTCATACATTGGCCACGTTAAACGGGAATTCTCATCATTGGCCGGCTAATGACGTCAATGGAGATGAAAACTGAAAATGACATCAATGGCCGGCAGTTAACGTCTTTTCCCAGTTAACGTCTTTGACCGTAACATGTATATATCATTTACATACCCGTTAATATTTTCCAATTGCAAAACTTTTTTATCTAAACCGTTCTGCCTCTGTTTCCAATAGTATAAAGTCACGAAGACATCGGCTACGGGACCCTGTCTCATTTCCGATTTGTGTTCTTTCATCCACAGTTCGATGTATACGACGCTCGTATCCGAACATACGACCTTTTCCGTGGAATCTTTCTGAAGGCACCTGTTATTTAAAACTATCTTCTGAGTTTGGCCGCGCGGCACCCACATGTTTTGGGAGCCGAGGACGTTGCCTGAAAAAAATATAAAAATACCATTCATACTAATAATAATACTCTCCCTAATTCAGTCATTTATGAGTGAATTTTTACCCCAAAAGCTAAGCTTGTCTGGTGAAGGGATAGATAGTATTATTATATTAAAAAAAAAAATAATAATAATAAATCGGCAAGTGGCCTGGATGGACTATCGGTAACTACAATTAAAAATATACACCCTTACATCCTAAACCCGTTAGCACACATTTTCAACCAAATATTAACCACTGGCAAAATACCAATATCATTTAAAGAATCTGAAATAACACCCGTCTATAAATCAGGAAAAAAAGAACTAGCCACTAACTACAGGCCTATATCAGTCATAAATAATATTTCAAAGCTTTTTGAGCAATGTTTAAAAAAAAGGTTAGTTGAATTTATTGAACAAAACAAAATATTAAGTACAAGTCAATATGGTTTTAGGAAAAATCTTTGCTGTCAAGATGCGCTTCTAGACTTTGTGCAAAATATTATTAATGGTATTGACAACAATAAAAAATGCCTAGCGATATTCTTAGACTTAGCCAAGGCATTTGATACTATTGATCACAGATTGTTGTTGGAAAGATTAGAAATAATACGTATAAGAGGATTAACGTTGGACCTTTTCAGGGACTATCTATCACAGCGAACCCAGTTCGTTAGAATTGGTAGCCTACTTAGTGACCCAATGACCGTTTGTAGGGGCGTGCCTCAGGGAACGGTACTTGGCCCAATTCTTTTTTTTAATATACATTAACTGTATTTATAATAATAAAAATATAGGAAAAATTATTTCTTATGCAGATGATACTGTCATTATCTATAAGGGAGAGAGCTGGAAAGAAGTCTTTCTAAAAGCTGAGGATGGTTTGAGTAAGATAAAGATGTGGCTTGATAATAGTCTTCTGAGTCTCAATGTCTCCAAAACAAAATTTATTACATTTTCACTAACAAATGCTGATCAACCAAATCAACAGATTTTAAAGCTTCACAATCATAACTGCAATAAAGGACCGATTTGTCAGTGTGTAACGATACAAAAAGAAAATAAAATAAAATATTTGGGGTTAATGGTTGATCAACATCTGAGATGGAACGAACATGTCATTTTTTAAACAAGATATTAAGAAAACATATATTTATTTTATCAAATTCGAGATATTCTTAAAAAAGAACTCCTACTACATATTTATAATGCCTTGGCTGAGTCGCTGCTAAGATATGGCATTCTAATATGGGGTGGGCTTCTAGACAACGCTCTCGATGGGCTGGACTCGACACAGAATACGTTGTTAAAAATATTGTTCAGAAAGGACCTTAGATATCCAACAAACCTATTATATAAAGAATTAGACATTTTCAATATTAAACAACTATATATTTACCAAACATCTTTATGGGCAATTTCTAATACTGAAAAACTTCCTAAGCTTTTACACACTACTTCCACAAGAGCTCTACTAAATAAGCATATGCCAATTCCTCTTTTTAAAAAAATGCACACCCAAAACTTTATCTCGTATTTTGGCCCCAAAATATATAACCTAATTCCTACATACATAAAAAATATTACAAATGAACGATCTTTAAAAAATGAACTTAAAATATTTGTACAGAAAAACTACAGTAAAATTAAGAAGAAAATATTTAATGTTTTATATTAATTTCATGCTACATAATTACATATTCTTCAGTATCAGAGAGTAGCCTTTCTTTTCTTTTTCTTTATTAGTCTTGTATTTTATATTTTTATAATTTATAATTTTTATTATTTTTGCTATTTTTATAATTTCTGCTAATTTTTATTTGTATAATTGTTTTGATTTTTGTATTTCCATATTTCTCTATCTTTTTCTTTTTTTTTTTTTGTTGTATTTTAAAATTCTAAATTCTTTGTTTTTGTTTCTATAGTATATACTTAGATACAATTTAAACAGCATTTATAAAACGTAAAAAAAACTAATATAAAGATTCCGCACACAAACTTTGTTTAGGCGGGTCTTAAAAAATTGTTAAAAAAATGTAAATTATTTTAATGAATAAATTTGATTTGATTATTATTTGCCGTGGCGCTCCGGGGCGACTTAAAGATGGTTGATGGTGCATGCCTGACTTACAAGTGAGGAAAACTTGGAAAACCCCACCCACCATCATCAAAACGGTAACACATGGCGATTTTTATAATTTGGATGTCATATAATATAGTAAAGTTGACAAATATATGGATATTATGAAAAACTGAATATAAAATGTTAAGTTTATTTATTTGTTTATTGAATTTAGATCACTCAAACTCATTTTCAATTATAGTTAAACACGATAATTCAATTAAACTAATTTTATTGTCAGAATACAACCAGCGATTCCTCTTATGGCCAACTTCTTATTCAGCATGTTACAACCAAAACATTCGCAGCGCTCGTTGGTCAGTGGCGCGCCGCGTAAATTTAAAAATATAAATTAAGAGCTAACAAAAATAAATATACAAGAACAAAAATTATAACAAAAAAAAATAAATTTTTAAGTATTTTATTGCAATAAAGTAATAATATAATGGAGGCCCTACACGCTATAACTTTTGTAAGATTTGAACTGTACAGTCCATCGATTCAGTCCATAACTCAACGTGAAGTGCTCTTTTGTCTAATGTGAAGATTATGAGTGAAATGAGCTAATTAAATAGTTTTTTTTAGATCAATCTGTTGAGTTTTGACCTGTGGGCCATATCGAAGTGTGAAGGGCACTCAATAAAACCTAAGTTATAAGTTAATAAAATAAATTAAATTTATCTTTAGGTACAGACACAAACAAAATATATAACTTACCTAAAGGAGTTTGCATCCAAAACGAAATAAGAAACTCTTGACAAATAATAAGATTATAACTGACATAAAATGCTTTCAGTACAGCTCCATTCTCGGAACTTATGCTTATGAAATGCGACTGTTTCTTTAACTGTAGCTTCGGCGACGTAGGCATGTCCCATTCTTGAGCCAAAGCGGAACTAGATGCCAAATTGTGCATCTTCTTTCCATTGAATTGTAAACTTTTATGTAAAGATTTCGTACCGCCATTGGGTTTAAATGGCAGTAATTCGAATTTAGTGTTATTTGATATACTGTTGGTATTTACCTGCAAAAGAAAGTAAAGTCTATAATAAAAATAAAACAACCTATTGTGAAAATTAATTTCTTATCTTTGCTTTCTTTTTTGTTTTAATTTAATCTCAACATTATAATAGTTTTTACTAATTTACCACAATTTAAATAATCTTTCTCTCTTTTATGGATATAGCAGAACTAAATATTTTTAATGAAATTGAAAATGAAGAAAATGAGATTGAATTAAATAAAAATTCTCGTTATGACTTAGACAATTTGTTAAATATTATCAGTTGCAATAATCATTTAACAACCTTAATAAAAATTTTGCATTTGAATATTAGAAGTATAAAAAAAAATTTGACAACTTTTTAGTATTTTTAGAAACTTTTGGTTTAATAATATTAGGAGAAACACGTAATATTATTGAACTTGATAATTTAATTATACCTGATGGTGTAGTTATATATATTAAAAACAACATTCAGTTTAAAATAGAACATACAAAGTTGCCTCTATCAAATGTAACGATAAGCTCAATAACATTTAGTCATAATGGTGTGCTCTATAAAGTAATGCCTTGTTATAAATCTCCATCCATATCAGATGTACATTTCTTACAGATTTTGAAAATTTCTTAAATAATATACCAAGAACGCTAGAAATGGATATATTTATTGGTGACATTAATATTAATATCCTTGATCCCTCAAACCAAATAAACAGATATTTGGCAATGTTATATTCCTTGGGATTTGTATCATATATTAATTCATACACCAGGGTTACTGTAGAAATGAAATCATGTATTGATCATATTTTTATAAAAAATAATATGCCAAATAAACATTTTTCATTTAAATCGTTGGTAATTGACACTGATCTAACTGATCATTTTCCAATTTTTTTAAATATGACAACAAACGAAAGAAACTTTAACCATAATACATTAAACCAATATACAACACAATACACCGATATAGATAGATTTACAAAATTATTAGAAAATGTAAACTGGGACAACGTCATTTCTCTTAGCAATCCAATTTTGGCCTACCAGAAATTTATTGAAATAATATATTCCCTAATAGAATAATGTAATATAACTAATAGGCATAATACTTATAAAAAAATAAAACCATGGATAAGTCAAGGCATCAAGGGATAAAATGAAAAAGCAAAAGTGAAAATATCAGACAAATAAAAAACATAAAAACCTTTTCTAAAGTGATCAGAAAATTTATATTTGATAAATATTTATACCTCTCAAATTTGTTATAAATACCTGTCATTTTAATCATCAAATGTTTAGTTTATAGGTATTGTTAATTTTATGTAGTTTTAATCTATTTCTATTGCGCATATAGATGTTTTTGCATCTAGGTACATATTTTAAGAATAATTTCTCATTGTAAATTTATTTGATTTTGTAATATAAAATGTTTATTCTTCTTCTTAAATAAATAACAAAGCTGATGGGAAATAATAAAGAACAAAAGGCTTTAAAAGTTGTCATAAATACCTGTGCAAACTTAGCAGAACATTTCTAGCTGACAAAATCCCGAATGATCAGTAGCGCCGTTCGAATAGGGTCAGTTAATTATTAGGTAAAAAATTAGATAAAAACAATTAAAAACTGATAAGATGTTTCTTTCAAATATCATATCAATATTGGCTCTATTTAAAAAGGCAGAACCAAACATTCAAAAATAAAATGACTTGACTGACAACAGAATCTTGACAAGTTAATTACAGGTGCTCTTTTTTAGACCTACAAAGAGCATTTGAAACAGTAAAACGATCTCTACCCATTAAAACGTTGAAAAGGTTTGGTATTATTGAAAATGCACTACAATGGCTTATAAGTTACTTACCTGGATAATAAAAAACAGAAATTAAGATTTAAAAATATTTTAACAAAAGAACAAAAAAATAAATAAGATGTACCACAGGGAAGCTTATTGGGCCCATTATTGTTCCTTCTATATATATTGATATTTCTTATGCTGCAGGTGGTTGCTCCATGCATCTGTTTGCAGATGATACACTCTGCTGTATTATTCTGCTAATAATTTACAGGAATTAACCACAACTATAAATGCCTCATTAAATCAAATAAGTACATGTTTGGTGTTGTTTTAATTCAAACTTTGATAGACTTTTATCTTTTTTTTTTTTACTTAATAATTAACTGACTCTATTTGAATGGCACTATTCAGAAATTCGTTAGCTAGAAATTAGGTTCATAGCATCATAAATAAATGTCTATACTGTATAAGAACTACAATCTTTTTGAAATATTAGAACATATTGAAAAAAGTCAAAGAGAAAACCTCTAAAAAAAATGTCAGTTTTGTCCTATGAGTAATTCTGAGGTAGAAGAAAGCAAAAGGCGTTTAAATATTCTATTCACAATGTGCAGAGTGGATAATAAGTTTTGGGATAGTTATAAAAAGGTAAAGAAAGAGTATAACAAGAAACTATTAACTAGAAAAAAGAAAGCATTTGGAAAACAAATATCTGACTTGGACAATAAAGCTAAAACAACATGGCAAATAATGAGAAATATAAATGGCAAAAATAACCAACATACTATACAAATACCGGGGAGGCGTCAACAGTAGCAAACAATTTTATGACTTTTCTTGAAAAGTCAATAACATATGTAATCTCTGGCCTAAGTAATAGTAATTATGTAAGTACAATATCTAGTAACTTAAAGTCTATATATATAAAACCAGTAACTGCAATGGAAATTGTAGAGATTGGGAAGAAACTCAAAAATAAGATGAGTAGTGGTATAGATGAGGTACCAACAAAAATTATTAAAAAATGTATTGAGTAAATTGTGAATCCACTAGTATATATAATAAATAACTGTCTTCGATTTGGGGTGTTTCCTGATCAATTAAAAATAGCCTGTCTAAAAATAGTCTTTTAAATTCTTTCTCAAAAATTTTTGAAGCTGCAATGTGTAAAAGGGTATCAGAATTTGTTATGACCTGTAACTTATTAAGTAAAAATCAGCATAGTTACCAGCATGGGAAATCTACCCAAACGACAATTTTCGAGTTTGTTCAGCATGTTCTAGGTGATCTGGAGAATGGTAGGCTGGCTATGGGCCTATTCTTGGACTTGTCCAAAGCCTACAATTGTCTAAACCATGGGATAGTGCTGGACAAGCTGGATAAATATGGAATTAGGGGGCCTGCATTAGGGTTGTCAAAATATATAAAAATAATAAGGAAGGTAGATCTGAAGAAATAACATCCAATATAGGAATACTTCAGGGAAGTATAGTAGGTCCATTGAATTTTATTATTTATGTGAATGAACTAAACAGCATTATGATTGCTAATGAGAACTGTGTGCTAACCAATTATGCATATAATATGATGGAATTAACCCTGAATGCAAAGAGAGAGAGAGAGAGAGAGAGAGAGATAACTAAAGCTAAAAAATGGTTTGAAATAAATAAATTAATACTCAATGAGAGCAAAACAAATGTGGTACTTTTTAAAACAAATTTACAACAGAGATGAAATGCCAATAATAATATTCAACTAAACAACTGTATATTTAAGGTCTCAACTAGTACCAAGTTTCTGGGGCTATATATTGATAGTTTTCAGTGCTGGGAAAGCCATGTTGAGTTTGTATGTACAAAACTGGGCCAGATTTGTTACAGCATCAGAGTTGTGAAGAAATATTTGGAATGGGATAATTTAAATATGGTATACTTTGCAAAATTTTGAATCCAGAATTAAATATGGGATAATATTCTATGGTGGGAGCAATTCAATTGAAAGGGTTTTTTTAGTGCAAAAAAGAATAATGCGAATTATGCTCAGTTTGAATAGGAGAGAGTCATGTAGAGGTAAATTTAGAGAAAATAAAATCTTAACTGTGATAGGCGTATACATCCAGGAATGCTTAATTTTTTTATTTAAAAATAGAGGTTTATTTTCAAATTTTGAACCAACAAATGCTTATATATTGAGAAATATAAACCTAGTATATCCAATACATAGGCTGACAGCTACAGAACATGGAGCAGGGTAAAGCTGTGTAAAGTTGTACAATAAACTGGTAAAGCTGTGTAAAGTTGTACAATAGACTGCCTGATGCAATAAAAAGATTAGCAAATGTTAAAGTATTTAAAAGGGAAGTACATGAATTAATTAATTTAGAACCTTATACAATTAGTGAATATTACTCTATGTTATCATTAATATATTTTCCTTGACATTGTTTTGTTTATTAATTGTCTTACTTATATGTATTATGATTGTTCCTCAAAATAAAGTTTATTATTATTATAACTAACTATATAACAATATATACCTCTATAAAATTTCCTGAACTTGCTTCCTTTGCCTGCAGAGACATGGCATCATTGTCTTCACTATCGCTGTCTTCCTTTTCACTGTTCTTACTGGGAGCACTAGCATAATCATGTTCTCTTAAAGTTGAAACAGTTGATTGCTCAGAAACTGCTGAACTCCCAGATACATTTTCAGACGAATCTGGAGTATGAATGTTAACAATAAGATAAGTATTCCCGCCATTAGCCTGTTGTTTCTTTTCCTTTTCAATTATTTCCTTCTTTTTTTCCATTTCTACATCTTTGGATAATTTTATATCAGTCAATACATCTTTTTGGAGGTTCAATTGTAAGGAATTTTTATATTTTTCGCACATTTTGCTGATTTCATGAGTGTCAGACTTGGTGAAACCAAATAAAGGTGACATATCCATGTTGTAAGAATGTGAAACTGTTTTGTTTGTTGATAAAATTCTGCTCTCGATCAGACATTTTCTATGTTCTTCACTAAGTTTATCAAAATCCACCATATCATCCATGAAATGTTCTAAATCAATATCTTCATCTTGAGAGTGGCCTACAGAAATAATTTCACAATGTGAACTGATTGATTTAGCAGGAGATTTGGTCCTAGATTTATGAGAAACAGATGTAACTGATTGTCTCTTCCCATTTATACTTTTAGAAGTCTTTGTTTTAATAATTTGTTTTTCATTTTTGGCAATAAGTTTTTTAATAGGAACATCTTTTAGACTACCATTGCTTCGCAATGTTTTAATCCTTCCTTTGACATGTTTTTTACGCATTTTTGGTAAGGTTTTGTCCATTTTAACCATCTTAGATGACTTGTTTTTATCATGAATTGGTTTAGACACATCTTTTTTCCCTTTTGGCTTGTCTGTCAAGAAAGGTATTTTCACTTCTTTTAGTCTTCTTTTTAATCTTGGTACCAGTCTAGTCATAATGTCATCGAAATCTTTAGTGGCAGTTATCAGTTTTTTTGGTGGAAAGGGAAAAGAAAAATGGTCCATTTTATCAGATTCATCATCATCTTCATGTTCTGAAGTGGTGATCTGAATGTTTAATTCCTTAAATGACTTTAAAGTAGCTGCTTTTTCAGGTATTTCCATATTGACCTCCTCAGTTATCTCCTTTATCTTATCCTGAACCTGTTTTTGTTCAGCCAAATGTTTCACCCTTGTCGATCTACGATTTTGTAAGATGGTAATTTCCTTCTTGTCTGCAGGATTCATCAACTGTAAATAATGGCAAAGTTCCTTTTTGCGACTCTCAGGGCTTAGAGGAACTTCATCCATGATTTCATTCGAATATGAACTGCCCGTTTTTGATAATGGACTTTCTAAATGGAAACAGTTAGACTTCTGGTCAGGTGCTTTAAAAGTACCTTCGAGTTTTGGAGTCATAGGTACTTTAGAATGTTTAGCTAATGTTTCATCTTTAAAATAGTTTATCAAAGAAGTGGATCTGTTGAATGGCGAGGGGTAATAAGCTTGTGTATTTGCAGCTTTATTAAAATCACATCGAACTAATATCAAGCTCTTTGCTTCTGATTCCTTGTTTTTAACTAAATCTGTGAATTCATTTTTGACGCATTCCTTGTCACTTTGCTTCATCCAGTTAGTGACTTTCTCGATATTTGATAAGGTTGGACACTTTTTATCCCATGTAACGCTCCCGCTTTGACCGAAATTCGATGAATCCACAGAAATTATGGCATCCTTATTTTTTCCCGTGTTGTACGTTAAATGCAAATAATCAGATTTATTTTTAACGCTCTTACTTGAAATGGTTATAGTAGTATCCATTGATAGAACGATTTTCTCATTGCAAAGGATAGATAGTCGTCAAATATAAATATGCCAGCTTTGCTAGAGTCATAACCTCGATATAAATTTTACAAACACTCTCCTTATTTTCACTTTTCATAAATAAATATTTCTGAATCCTTAATAGTTAAGTCTATTAACCCCACTTCCATATTCGATAAGAATAAATATACAGAATAAATAAAAAAACAAGGCTTCGGAATGGACTGTTTACGTTTTAAACGTCACAGTTGTCAAAGTCAAATCTGTCAAATGTGAAGAAATGTTTTGGCCACGAGTTTTAGCCAATGAAGTACTTCTTTGGTTTTAGCATTCAATCAAAATGATTTTGAACATAATCCCTGGTATTTAGCGTAATTACAACGCTATTAAAGCGACTGGATTCATTTATATCCCTAAACAAATAAATCATTTTTTGTTTGTGACATATGTGAAATCAGTGTTGCCAGTCTAGTACAATTGTACTAGATCTAGTACATTTTCTAAGAATTTGGCACACTCGAATCAAAATCTAGTATCTTTTTCAGGTTACTATTTGACACGTGTGAAATATTTTGTTGAGATCTTGCTCCTTGTTTTGTTTTCGTTCGCTAAAAACACTTTTTTTTTTTTAATGAACCATTCCACATCACAATTCATTCGAAAATCTGGTTCATTTTACAGAATCTAGTTCATTTTATGCAATCTGGTACATAACAAAAATATATTCTGGCAACACTGTATGAAATACATAGGGCCAGGACCGTCCTAAGATATTCGGAGCCCGTGGGCTACTAAAAATAATGCGCCCCCATTAATATAGAAAATGCACCACAATTATACAAAAGTGTTAGAACTAAGTAAAATTTATTACCATTACACTAAGCAAAAACAAATAATATATACAAAATTAAAAAACCTATATGAACAAAACTAAACTTTAAAACAAATGAAAATCGGATAAGAACATGAGTTTTTTACATTATTTTCACGTGTATAATATACTCCTAGAGTTTGGTGCGCTCCTCCCGACTCACCCTGTATATATTTTTATGTATGTTCAGCGATATAACGCTTTACCACGTTCGTTAGAAATGGGGTACCTCAGGGGTGGTCTCAATTTGTAATACCATCTGCATGATTTTGGAGTCGTTTTTTTAATTATTTTTTATAACTTGTCTTTTGTTGCTTTGTATTCATTTTGTTATAGTTGTTAGTTTAATAAATGGACTGTATATTATTATTCTTTTAATTTTTTTTATCCAAACTAATTAATATTCCTACTGAACCATCTAGGGAATAAAAACCAAATAATGTCTTTAACTATACCCAACGGAGGTACATATCACACCAAAAAAGGCCACTCAAACTCGCCACACACACAAAAGGCACTCTTATGTCTGCCTTTTGCCATTTATATCCGATAGAACTGGTTGTAGGAGGGCTAGAACAATGGCTTGTTCTGTAAATTGGATCTATCCCGTTTGAAAATTAAATACAGGTAAAAAGGAACGAGGCAAAAATTAAACAATATAAGATTTTTCGATGGTTTTATTTAACAGTTCAATAACATCAACAATATAATTAGGAAAACAAATTAAATCTAATTTTTATAATTTACTCTTAGGTTGTTGTAACCAGTTCAAAATTTGTGGAGTATAGTAGGAAATAATAACATCAGCACCTATAAAAAAATTAATCATTATGTGGATTGAATGTTATGTCAAGCATTAACTTTCCTCTTTCTAACTAAATGAACTGTATTTTCTGTCTTTAACAAAAACTGACAGGTGACAGATTACAGTTAGATTTCTACATTATTACTAGAATTCTTTGGATTCGGAATTTATCAGAATCTGTATATAGAAGCAAAATAATTACCTGCTCTCCTAAGAGATCCAAGAATCTCCATCAACCCTAATTTCAGATCAAATAGTCCTTTCGATGCAGCTTGATAGATCATGGAATACTCGCCAGAAACCTGATAGACAAACATGGGATATTCTGGATGCCTTTGTTTAATTTCTTTCAGTATATCCATGTAAATCATAACGGGTTTCACCATAAGCATGTCAGCTCCTTCAGCCACGTCTCTGTCTGCTGCCCTGAGAGCCAAACCTGAGCTGGTTGAAGGAAGTTGGTAGCACTTTCTGTCGCCAAAAGCTGGCTTAGATTTGGCTGCATCTCTTAAAAAGGGTATTAAAACTATTTTTCTTTTAAATGTGTGTACAATAGATGATTTCAACGGAAGACATCTTGAAGTTGCAAGGTCATTGGAAGATCTTTGCGTCATCTATAAGTTTACATAACAACTAATAAAATAAAAAAGAAAACTGTAAATTATTATTTTGGCAATGTGTCTAAAGTTACAGCGGCGTTAAGTATAAATTTCTTATTTTTTTTTTGCCTTCTTTAGTAGTATGGGCTCAGTTTTCACTCTCACTATCGCGAAGATCTGGAATCTAGATCTACATGGCTTGCAAAGCGCGCGTTAGGTCGTTTTATGTTTTTACAAATTTTGACATGACACATGACTAAGAAAAATAAGACTATGGGACCTGGCACTAAGTAGATAGAGATGGTGAAAAACTGAGCACATACAAACTAATGAAGAAGACAAAGAAAAAGATGAAAACCGACGCCGTAACCTTAAACAGATTGCCAAAATAATAATTTACAGTTTTCTTATTTATTTTATTAGTTGTTATGTAAACTTATAGATGGCGCAAAGATCTTCCAATGACCTTGCAACTTCAAGATGTCTTCCGTTGAAATCATCTATTAATTAATTTTACCTAAAAGGCCCATAGAAATTTGAAGCAAACTTTGCAGTATATGACAAGACTGCCACTTTATTTCCTAATCCGTTATTTATCAATTTTGTTTTTATAGCACCAATTCTTCCATCCATCATGTCTGAGGGAGCAATGATATCAGCTCCTAAAATTTGAATGAGGATATTTCCATAATAAATATAAATTACAGAAAATATATAAAATAGAAGTAGTGTTAAGATACTTGTTTTGACAAAAAAAAAATAGTAAAACCAGTATTAAGACTAACAACTAGGTTAGAAAGAAAAAACAACAGGACTTATTACTAAATAATTTCATATTTACACTATTCAAAACCGAGGAGTAAAATTTAATATGTATATATTAAACATAAATGTTACCTGCTTTTGCATAATTGAGAGCAATTTCTGATATTCTTTCTATACTAGCAGTATTATCTACTGTGCCATCATTTCTAAAAACTCCACAATGTCCATGAGAGGTGTAAGGACAAAGACAGACATCGCAAGCTATTGTCAAATTAGGAAACCAAGATTTTAACTTTGGAAGGGCCTTTATTACAGGATTTTGTGAGCTATCTGCGTTTGTAGCACCATCGTTCTAAATCCAAACAGAATGATAATGGTAGTTTGGCTATATTTAAAAAAATCTTACTTTAGGAAGATCACTAACTACCCCAAATAGTAGAACAGACTGTAAACCATTATTAATTATAGGCTCCAAATGCGCTTTTAATGCATTAATTCCAAACCTGGAAATTCCTGGCATGCTATCAATTGGTTGTACAGCATCTTCATCTTCACTGAAATGTTTTATTAAAAAAAAAAACTATATTCAAATATATTATTTTACTTACATAATAAATATTGGATACATGAAATTTTTGGGAGTTATTTCACATTTTAAACCCTGCCAGTCTCGTAAAGTGGAATTAAATATACCGCTGTGTAAGATATGGTCGTTTCTTACAGAAAAGCGCTTTTGTTCGGTCATGATTTAATTTTAAATATGGTTAGTTAATCGAACAGAAGGAACTGACGATTTTAATTAAGCTTATTTATATGTTATAAACAGTGACGAAATAATAATGACTTTAAATAATTTTATTGATTTCTAATCACATACTTATAGAAGTACTTGTGTTTCTAATCGGCAAGCAAGTCATGGTCTACTCTCTCTTTCAATGAAATTGATGAACGTAAACAAACGTAATTTACGTTTACGTAAACAAAAATATGGTACACATCGTAAATCGTATCATTGACATTTTAACCTCAAAGTAAAACTTTTTTGTCTTGAGTTAGGCAACCAGTATTGCACTTTTCACTTTATTAAAATACAGGGAGGTCCAAAACTAATTGCTTATTTAAAATATGTTTCTACAGCGAAAGTTTATGACAATACCTAAGGCGATTTTAGATTCCGTAAAAAAGAAATAAAAATAGCAATCAAAAACAACATAATACTTACTTTATTGTAAATTTATTAAATGTTTACCAAATTTTATTTAATTAGAAAAGTTTTTATAAATGGCCTCCAATAATATTTATGGGGACCTAAATATAATTTTCATAGGTCCAACTCATATTTCTAAGCATTTCCCGAGTATATTCACAACTAAAAAGGTCATATTTTAAAAAACTGGCGAGACTCTTTTTAAACACAAATTACATTAGTGTATTAATGTTAGGCTAGAATTATAATATCCAGCTTTAAAGTGACCATCTGTCCCGATTTAGGCGGGACAGTCTCGATTTAACATTTATTCCGTTTGCGTCCGATGAAAAAATATAAATATTTCCATTCTTATGAGTAGATAAGCAAAGTTTGTATCGCGATATATATAGGTATAGGGAAATTAATGTGTTAAAGAGAGAGGTCCCCGGCCTCAATGCGATCGAGAGAGATATATGTGTATACAATCTTACGTGACGTAGATTAACGTTGAAGAGAAACATACGCGCAGTAGCAAAGCCAGAAGGGCCTAAGTCCATATATTCGTTGCTATTGGTCCGATTTACATGCAACAAACGGCGTTGTGAGGGAGAAGTGGCGTAGATTAAGGTTGAAGAGATGTGACAATAAAGAGAAGAATATATTGTAGAACAATAATATAACATCGTTAGTTTTGACTCGTGATGCATCATCTATTTCTTTCGATCGCATTGCGTTACTACGTTACATTATACGTCACGTCACTACTGCGTGTGATTTTTCTCTTCAACGTTAATCTACGCCAATTCTCCCTCACAGCGCCGTTTGTTGCATGTAAATCGGACCAATAGCAACGAATATATGGACTTAGGCCCTTCTGGCTTTGCTACTGCACATATTTTTTCTCCTCAACGTTAATCTACGTCACGCAAGATTATATACACATCTCTCTCGATCGCATTGTGGCCGGGACCTCTCTCTCTAACACATTGAATTCCTTATATATATCGCGATACAAACTTTGCTTATCTCCTCTTGTGGTGATGTGACAACCCATTCTTTTATATATATATATATATATATATATATATATATATATATATATATATATATATATATACTCGACCAGCGTATCATGTGACATCCAGCAAAAATTTTGACTTTGTGACATCCACCCTTTACAAAGACTTTAGGAAAAAAATAAAAATATGACTTCTTTTAATTTAAAAAATATTATCACTGAGCGAAAAATATCACAACCATACACATTTTAAAAAAATAAAACGTCCTATCGTTGTGAGATCCAAAGTATACACGGTATATATTTTTATTAACAACACTTTGTGACATCCAGAAAAACCTTGCATCTTGTGACATCCAGTTGTTACGTCACAGTATACCATTTCTACAGAAAAACTGCCATTCTTATAACATCCAGCAAGTATATAGATACATTTTTAAATTAAGTATCTTATTACATCCTAAAAACTTAACACGTTTAACGCCAAAGCACACCCTCAAATTCTATGATTTTTATTGTTTTTTATTCCAATGTGATTTCTTTAATGGTTTTGATAAAATAATTTATTTCATTTTTAAATAATTACTGAGGCCCTTCCTATGGGGCCTCAGTATTGCATTCGTGCAGACGAAAACATTTTCTTACCCCCATTTTTAAAACTTTTTTTTATGTTTCCGATCATTCTGACTCCGAAAATTTTTCGTCTGGTCATCTGTGTGTATGTATGCCGGCACAATAACTCTAGAACGAAAGTCCTAATTGACTTGCGGTTTTTATCTTCTTGAATAATTCCTTCTAACTTCGAACCCTATTGATTTTCAGAATTTTCGGTTCATTCTAACTACTTTAATATCAATTTTCTTAAAATCCGCTTATGCATTTCTTATGTGACAATTTTAGGAATTCCAATTATTTCTAACGTCAACATCCCTAACATTCTTTACATTCCATAAATTGCAAACATTCTCTAACGACCTGTCAAACAACAGCTGTTGATAGTAAAAGTGAAATTTCTAAGGCGGGTTGCGACCTTCATATTTGCAACTATAGCCATTTTGGAGGCTAATTTTATTCAAAATTAGTCGCCAAGCCTGCCAATTATGAAAAATATATAAGCAGTTTCTTAAAAATTACTTTTTATGGTGGTGCTAACTTAAGCGTACTACTATTTCGCCCCTAGCCACAAAAACACATTCATCAAATTTATTGGCAACCCCAAGAATTAACCGGCCATTTTATTTGGCAAAAATCAGAATAATGCTTGGCTGTGCCTGTCAGGTATCAAGATGTCAACTGTTATGTGGGAATGGCTCTTAAATGTAAAATTATTTAAAAATGTATGCTTATTTTGATATTTATTGCAAATAATTTGTAGTGTATCTCAATTAAGGCTTTTCATAAATAAATGTGCAGCAAGACAGATATTATAATGTTCTTATACAAAGCACTTTTTTATTATATGAAAGAGAGGTAGGATAGAACAATGGTTTGCATATTCAACCAGCGAATTGTAAATAATAATTAGTAAACTTCTTGAGGTTACTTTTGAATCTATTTATTGTTGTTTTTTTTTTTAATTTCTGTAGGCAGTCAATTACATTTTTTAAACCTTTAATAAAAATTATATTTTGGGAACTTTTAATGATGGCTTGCCGTATATGAAAGTCAGATTGGCTTCTTGTATTATAGTTGTGATATTGCGACATATATTGAATTTTTTCTAAAAGATCTGATGCGATGGTACTATGTCATTTTTATTTTATAAATAAATATCAGTCATGTACTGAACATAATTTTGAACTGAAAGCCGATTTATTTCTTTTAACATAGTTGCACTACTCATCCTTCTGTCCTTTATGTCCTTTATTAGAATATAAATAGGCAAAATAAGGAGCCCAAATATTTTACATAAGCAGGCTTAAGACGTAAAAGGGCCAATTATTATTGGAAAAATTGCTCGAATAAGTTTTTAAACGCTAATCAAAAGGCGATATAGAATGGTTTTAAAAATCCAGGCTTGTGAAAATCATCACATGAATAAACCTAAGTAATGCCAATGTTTCACAAAACAAAAAATTCAACGTCCTAATACTACTAAAGGCTTTCGGTCTTTCGTTCCAAGTTAAATCATTTCTCGTTTTTGTTACGCTACGAGTTTACCCTTGTGGGCCTCAGTGTCGATAAGGTGGGTACCACCATTTTAGCGTCTCTCGAATTTTCTTTTCAGTGTTTGATTGTGTATATTTTTAGATACACTGGCCCAAAATAGTATATTATTAAACAAGCAATTTATGGTAGCCATTATTCACGCAGGGTGACGTTTGCGTCCTGAGCCGTAGGCGAGTCTAATACTATACTTTGTATCATTATACCATTATGGTTTCTTTATTAAATAAACGTTAAGTGTAGAATGGAAAGTTTTTATTAAACATAGGTAACTAACTGTTGTTTTTTCAACTTTTTAATTTTACAATTTTTCGAATATCTGATTTTTCGATTTTTCAATTTTTCGGTTTTTCGATTTTTTGATTTTTTACCTTTTCAATTTTCCAATTTTTCGAATTTCTGATTTTTCGATTTAGAAAATATCGTTATGAATAGTATCGCCCATCTTTAGTTATCTACCGGAAATTGCCAGAATTAGAAAAGAGTGAATTATCATAATTCACTCTAGTGATATATGGGTACCATATGCTTTTAGTTAGGAGGTAGAATATTGATTTATTATTAAATGGTCGTGGACAAATTAGTTTCCATTTGAAGTAACTTTTTAATCTTTTTTTTTGGTATGTGGATATCTCTTATAGAGATTGGGTACAGGTTCTCCCTTTTCCAATAGTTTGGGACTCCCGGATCATTAGTGCAAGTCAGGCTTATCATTTACCCACTAAACGCACCCTTGAGCAGGTAATATTTTTTACTTGTCCATTGGGACTACTTTATTAATTTTTTGAGTATCTATCGACCTCGTATTGTTGATTCTCCGGTCTCAAGTGCATTAACACGGCCAGTTGGCGAACCTAAAGATAAATCCAGCGGTGTTTATTATTTTTGCGCACAGACTATTTTACTACAAACATTTTTAACTTCAAATTATTTTTGAGTTACACAAAAAAGTACATTTCTTAATTAGTTAAGTTAGTTTCCATATTTAAAGAGACCAGAAAAAACTAATATTAGTCATGTGCAAAAACATAAATTGTGCAGATGATTTTGCTGCTAAAACATAACGTCTAAATTGTTTTTTTTTTTAGTATTTTGGAGATAAAAAATGAAACTAAAGGGGTTTTTAATAACTTTAACACGTTATATTGACGATAATTTATTCCCATGTGAATTTTTAAAAGCTACATATTATGTTGGTACTTCTATATATCTGTGCCTACCAGTACTAAAAGCAATTCTGTGAATTAATTTTTCCTAGAGTCTAGCGGTTATGATGTTGGTACGACATGCAGACATGCAGTGATTAATTAAAAAGTAATAATTATAATATTTGGTTCTAAATACGAACTTTTAAGTACATTTTATTATAGTGTACATGCATATAAGTACCAACAAAATATGTAACTTCTAAAAATGTGCTTAGTTTTAAAATAATATAAAAAATATTTAATTTTAGTAATTAAATCATCTACTCAAAAATTAAAAGCATATGATTAAATTTTTTTGTGTGCTTTTTTCAAATATGGATACAAATTTAACGACTTGTAGTGTGTTCTTATAAGGATGGACAAATTTATAATTTTTTTTTTAAAAGATGAAACTGCATTGTGTTTCTTATTCATGCCTTAATAGATTATGGTAAGTTATAGAGA